TTCCCCGACCAGAGATGGAACCCATGCCCCCTGCACTGGAAGCACGGAGTCTTAACCACTGGACCACCAGGGAAATCCCAGGGGTGCATGCATTTTTTCGAGTTAGAGTTTTCTCCAGATCTATGCCCAGGAGTGGAAGTGCAGGACCCTATGGCAGCTCTATCTGTTCTCTGCACGTCTCATATCAACAACCTGCATTCCAATCCTTGCTCTCAACGTCATCTTCGGGGAATCCAACCTGCGACAGGGACCTTGACAAGAAGAAATGGTTCAGGGAAAAGCTACCTGCACAGGGAAGAGATAGAGGCCATCGCCCCTGGGGTGAGGCGGGGAGGGTGGGCACAGAGCTTTGTCATTTCACCCCCGATACTCATCTCAGCCTTCCTGGCTGCCCCACTCTAGGTCACCTCGGGATACAGAGGTGGCCCGGATAGAGTCCCTGCCTGTGCAGGAATCTGGGGGCACCAGCTGGTCTGAATAATGTTAGTACAGGGTCTCCCCCGCGGCACTGGGGTTACTTGGGGCGGGTCATCCTCTGCTGGGGGTCCCTCCTGGGCACTGTGTGGGGTTCAGGAGCATCCCTGGCCCCACCCATTTGATTCCAGGGGCCCCTCCCTCCCAAGTGTGAAAACCACAGATTTTCCCCAGACATCACCGAAGAACTGGGTGAGGTGGGGGCAGGATGGCCCTGGGCGAGGACAGCTGTGTTGAAGCAACCAGCCTGGCCCAGGGCAAGGTCTGCCCCAATCCCGTCAGAGCCTGCATTTAGAACTGCCCCTTCCCTCTCCCACCTCCCCTGCCCTTCAGTGGTCTCTGAGACATCATCCCCATGTAATAAATCACACCTTCTCAGTTTACTGTCCCCAGCACCTAGAAGAGTGTCTGCTGTGTAGTAGGTGCTTCATAAATACTTGCTGAATAAAGGAGTTGAATAAAGGGATGAGTGGATGAATGAATGAAGGTTACCATGGAAGGAAGGGGGAGATTCCCTTTCTGGCTCTCGGGGGTTGGGAGATCAAGTGAAAGATCTGTCCTAAATAGGCTGACCAGCCTTCTGGGGTTCCCCGGGACTGAGGGTTTCCCCACAGTTCCAGCGCTCAAACCTGAGCGGTCCTGGGCAAACTGGCGGCGGGTGTTGGTCACCCTGTGTAAACGCAGTAACAATTCCAACTGCAATAGCAATGGCCAAGGACCTCTACAGTCTTATTGACCAGGCACAGTTCTTTACCTGGCGGGGAAGGGTGGGCCGGGATTGGAATTCCGGTGATCCAGGGTGGGCTGGTGAGGGCACACCCCGGGCTTGTGTAGGGGAGTCAAGGAAGGTTCTGGAGGAAGTGACAGTGACACAGGAGGGAGGGAGGAGTCTAAGGAAGAACGTCCCACAGCACAATTTGTGCCAATGGCCCTGGGGCCAAGGTCACACCTGACCAGGGCTTGCTTTTTTTTTTTTTAATTTACTTTTTCCCACATGGATATGCAATTGTCCTAATGCCATTTATTGAAAACTCCTTAATTTCCCCACTTTCTGTCATATCAAGTTCTCATCTATCTGTTTCTGGACCTTTATTCTCTACCATAGAGCTATACGTCCCATCCTTGCACCACTAGGGCTGTTTCATCACTATAACTTTATTTTTTATTCATTTATTTCTTTGGCCGTGCCGGGCGGCATGTGGGATCTTATTTCCCTGACCAGGGATCGAACCCGCACCCCTTGCAGTGGAAGCTCGGAGTCTTAATCACTGGACCTCCAGGGAAGTCCCCAGGGCTTGCTTTGACATCCATCGAATGGTGGGGGTGGGCATGGGGAGAAGCGAGCCATCCTATGTAGAAATGCAGGGTGGAGGGCAGGACAGCTGGAGCGGGAGGGGAAGAGGCGGAGGAGGGAGGGAGGGATGGCGGGCGGGCGAGAGACAGACAGAGAGTTTCCGGAGACAATAGCTCTGGCGTGTCCTAGGGCATGAAAGCTGAAAATAGCTCCTAGTGCCGGGAGCCTTGGAGCCGGAGCCTGGGAGCCAGGGTGACTGGCTCTCCTCCCTGGTGTGTGTGTGTGTGAGTGGCGGGGGGGGGGGGGGGGGGGG